CAAAAAAGATAATTATTTACCATGAGTTCTTATCCTTATACAACTTAAACTTATCATTTCATACACATGAGCGGTCCGTTAAACTTTTACAACACATAAGTATCAACAGATCCTTAACATTACATCAGAAGTAAAGTATACTATACAACAAAAATCTATCATCCAACAAAGATTAGCTCAAAAATCTTCTAGCCTTTCACTGCTTTAACCCAATTCTAGCTTTTCAGTGCGTGACAAGCTACCCTGAAAAATTTATATAGCAACGGGGTGAGCATAAAGAGCTCAGCAAGCGTCTAACATATCCATGGCGATAGGAGAAGTTCAAGCAGGCTTAGTATCAAGATACAAAAGTAGAAATATAAGTGTTCATTTGAAATCATCTTATTTGATATAAAATCACAAAGGTCTTATTCAAAAACAAGCATTAGACATAACAATAGGAGAAGGGAAATTGGAGCATTTCATTGGCAAAAGAAATATTTAGGCATGTATCAAATGGCGCATGAAGCATTTAAGCGCATATCAAAAGTGTAAGAGTGTTTGAGGGCATGATAATGACAAACGAAACACTTCAAAGTATAACAAGTGAACCGAATAATAAACACAAGCTTGTATGTCATTTTTAATGTAGTATGCATTCCATTTTTATCCAAAGCATAATATGAACTCATAAACAAAGCTTTGGATATCATATCAATAAACATAGATGGCGTTGTGGGACCACATACATAATGTGATTCATCCATTTCTAGATGACCACCAAGCATAAGTCTCCCACGTCTGGGAGCTCCATCCACCCACGTCTGAGTGAAGTCAATGGGGCCGACAGAGCAATCGCGGGCTCTAAGCATAACTCCCTTTACCATTTCTGGCAAAGGTTCACAATATCCCACAAGACACCAGAGTACAAAAGGGTAGTATGAACAATAACATTGACACATATCAGAAGCACATGCGGAACAACGAAGATATGCATGTGCCTTTATCAAACAAGGAAATGCAAACAAAGCATTACATAATAAATTTCAGATATACAATAATTTCAGGATGAACAATACAAGAACTTCAAAGGACTAATATAAAGCTCAATTGAAGAAGAATTTATCAGAAATCAAATTTCCAATAGGATGAAAATTGAATAGGCAAAACCCAACAAAGTTTTCAATTCTAATAGAATTTGAATGGTACATTTCCTGAATTGTTTGAGTGATCAAACATACTCTAAATCACTAAAAATAGATGTCATTGGAAAGCTGTATCAATCTATTTTCGGATGAACTCAGATTTATAATTTTTTGAGTTCTTTACAGGAAGTTACAACAAATAGAGTAAAGGAAGGTCAGAATTGATCATCCCTGTTTTGCAGACTTGATAGAATCAATTTAAATAGATGTTTCAGAAGGTAAATATACTTCAAAATTTCTAAATTATATGTCAAAAGAAAGATATGCGAATCTATTTTCCAAAAGAACAATTTTGCATAATTCAGAATTTTCACTAGAGAGTTATGAGCAATTTAGTAACAGAAGGTCAGAAATTTCAGTCCCTATTTTGCAGAATTTATAGGGTTAATTGAAACAGAAGTCTTAGTAGGCATTTAAACTCCAAATCATTCAATCTTAGTGTCAAAATAAAGATATTTGAGTCTACTTTCAAATGGATTAGGCTTTGCCTAAATCAGAGTTTAGTGCTAAAAGTTAGATCCAAAACAATGTATAGAAGTCAGATTACCGAAAAATTTCAGATTCATGGCTTTGTATCAAAAGGAAAGAAAGGTTTGGTACTAAGCTGAAATATTTTGAATTATGAAGTATTAAAAGGAAAACAGAGATTAGGAATTCTGTAGGAAGAGGTTAGAACACTTGCCTCTTCTTCTTCTTCTCCTTCTTCTTCTTCTCTTCTTCTTCTTCTCCTCAAACTAACGTTGGCTGCAAAGTTTCTTTTTAATGGTGCTTTAAATTACTTAGGTTTGGCTCATGCTAAAATAGTGAGGTGGCAAGCATGCATGGGGGTTTAGGTGTCAACTTTAGAATAAATACAAGTGACTCATCCTTGTTAATGACACATGTCCTCCATTTTATTTTATTTTATTTTTATTTACTCAATTCTGAATATTCTATAAATCATATCAAAATTTTATTATTTACTCTTAGGTCCTTAGCCATAAAATTTAATATAATATTATTTAAAAAAAGTATTTAAATAATCCTCATATTTACAAACAAGCATTTACTAATTTTTTTTTTTTTAATGGGGGATGTTACAAGTACTCTGGCGGAGCTGTCTCAACTTCCTTCTTGCGACGAACTCTATGTTCTCTGGTAGGAACTGAGTTCTCAACTCCCGCTTCAAGTCCTCCCATGTGTCAACTCGACATCGACCTTGTTGGATCTCCTCCCAATGGGTTCGCCACCAAAGTTTTGCATCTCCGTTCAGATACATTGTTGCTATAGAAACTTTGGTTCGAAAGTATTGTTCCACGTCAAACAGGAAATTCTCGAGCTCTTTGGCATCTCTGGTCCTTCCATAACCATGAGGCTCGGGTGCTCTCAAGTTTTGTGGCGGCGCAACGCGGGTGTTACTTCCTCCCGCATTTAGTGCTCTTGTGAGCATGGTCACCCTTGAAGTGAGTTCTACCATAACTTTCTGCAGGTGTTGCATGGAGTCTTTGGTGTCATCTAACAATCAGTCGACTAGGGCCTCAACCTTGTCGATCCTGGACTTCACTTCTTCTTGCGAGCTTTCTATCCCAACAAGCCTTCGTTGGCCATGGTAGAGTTCCTCCAAGCTCGCTTCAAGAACATCCAAGCGGGTTTCTACCATTGTGAGTCTCTCCTTATGACTCTTTTTCCTGGTTGGCGCTCCAGATTGTGCCTCCTCCGCTCGTGGAGAGCAGCCAACTTCTCACTCATCATGTTCGCTGTCGCGCTCCTCCTAAGCAGCTCCAACAGCATGAGAGCGAGTGTGCACTTGCAGCCCACCTGCGGCTGCTTGGGGCAATGGTCCGGCTTGCCCCGTCTTACTTGATTCGCCACGATGCTTTGTCATGGCGAAGTTGCGAAGTTCCTTTATTGCTCGCTCTGATACCACAATGTCATGGACTTAGCTGGAATTGCCTAAGTCGTGAGGCACCCTTGCGGCAGAGACACGAACTTAGCTTGCGTTGCCTAAGTCGCGAGGCACCCTTGCGGTAAAGATGCGAACTTAGCTTGCGTTGCCTAAGTCATGCTTTGCCCTTGCAATTTGCGTCTGTAAAGATCAGCCCACTTGCAACCTCTCACAGGTCCCGAAAGACCTGTAAAAGAGAAAGTTGATTAGTTCGAAGAACGAGCGACAAACAAGTCCCGACATCTTGTGAAAAGGGGAAGCTTTACAAGCAATTCAACGAGCACCTTGCGTGCACAAGAGAAAAGAGAGAGGAGGAAAATAAGGACTTTAGGTGGTTGAACGAACAGCTGCAAGTCTACAAACAACTGCTCACTAGGTGCCGAGTGTGACAACAAGTTTCCGTCAAGATAACGTGCAAACTTGCGAAAGATTGTTCAATGCCCGATACTATACTGAAGCCTCATCCCCCATGGTGCCACCCGGGTGGTTTCAAGGTGCTGAGATGGTTAATGTTTCACGTGCAGCAACGGGCTACAGAAAATAACCCGTGGCACACGAAAACGAAACTACTTTGGGACTATTTTGCTCGGTTCGGTGAGCGATCGTACTGTAGCGCTGCAACTTGTTCGAACTTATATTTTTACAAGCAAAATGGCTTAAAACCAAGCCAAAACATGCTGCCAAACAACTATACATGTAAATAAGAGCGACGAACAATTCATTGAATGAAATTGTTACGGGTGCACAACGACCGTTCATGACACTACGCTGCATCCAATGCATAGTAGGCATGTGCAAAAGGATTGACAAAACAAAAACCCAAGTTGGTAAATTCGATTCAGCTATCCAAAACAAACACATCTGTGACAACCCCAAGTTGGTGAGTATATAAAAGAGGGAAAAAGGTCGACAATGAACTCTCATTACACATAAATATACAATAAACCTTAATTATTCCTCAGTTTACATGGCATATATAACAAGGAATAATTTGAAAGACGATAGATAGTGGAAATGTTATTTATACAGTTTAATTAAGAGACACAAACTAGCACTACATGAGCATACATCTAATCTCGTATCATGATTTAGCAAACTCATTACAGATGGAGGACTCGTTCATGAAGCCACACTCAGCACCTGTTAACAATTCTACGCACATTTGGTCACAGGAAGAAATTGGTTGCCACCATAGAGTCTCATCCGTATTGTTGATCGGGTCTGTTTAATGTGGTCCGAGAAGAGCCGATGCCTGAAGATGATGGGAACAAAAAAGGAAGTGTGAGCTGAGAAATTTGCTTGCAATCCAAGATTTCAGGAAAAAACCATAAGCAAAACTAACCTCTCATATTCTAGCTTCTGGATGACTATACCATTGAGTAAAAGCTCCGAGCTGAAAATACCAGTTCCTACATATAAAATTCAACCATGATCCATGCTGTTGGATCTCTTTGATTGTATAAGACATGCCAAATAAACACGAGAAACAATACCTTTCTCAAGGAGAGGCATGCAGATAGAGTAATCTTCTTCACAAGATATAACCAAAAGCTCATCCGGTGCTTTACCTTGCTTCAATGCAGATCTCCCAATTCTCTTGATTGCCTAAGTAAAATATGATACATTTGCATAATGCAATGGTGAGTGTGAACTGAATAATACTTCCAGCAGTATATCAATTATCCAGACTATTCCTTCCTGTTTATCCAAGTTAGAGAAATCAATAGCATAATATGTTACATGTGCCAGATGTGTGGTATTTTACCTTGAACAGATGTTGACCACAGGCAGGAAATAAATCCACCCTTTAAAGGGTGCTGTTTAGGATGAGTGCATATGCAAAAACTTCAGACCTCTCAGTGCATGCCATCTCAACCATTAAACAGAATTCTAATATGATGCTTCATTCCATGCCTTCGCAGGGATGTGACTCATCCACCATTGATAATATGTAAAACACTTAGAATCTAACTCCTATCCCCTTTAAACATGCTTGCAATGGCATGATTCTTTCGATCCATTAGTTTGAAGTTTGAAGTTTTAAATTGGAAGTAATAGAAGGTTTTTTGTTGTTTAAGAGTGAAGTGGAAAGATCAATTGCAGATGAAATAAACCAATGTTTTCAGAAGTTCTACACAAAGTTCAAATGCTACACTCACATTTTTATGGTTTCTGTAAAAGGTCAAAAACATTCACAAGCTTACTTATTAGCAATAAACAATATCATATGAGCATGGGTATTACACATTAGATTTTAATAATGTAACAATACAAATACAATGGCAGGTGTCATTGAAGTCCAACCCTCTAAAAACTGGTGCAAAATTCCTAGCCGATGCATATTAATGCAAGAGAGAGAGAGTCCTCATAGAACCTGAAATGCATCTTGAAGTATAGGAAAATCTGTCATGATGCACAGTTTAAGCTCATGGAATCAAGAAGCAACCAACAAAATGTCCTAATCTAGGAGGGTCTAGATGAAATGCAGAATAAAACATATTGACCACCTCTAAAGCAAAGTCAAGATGGAGTAAAGCATAAGCCAAGTTCTACTGCCTATAAACATTTATACTGAAACTCTAAGATGTTGTGATGCATCCCCAAATTTGAAGAGTCACTTGTAGGGAAGAACTCGGGGTGATTTATTCTTTTTAATAGCATGAACATCAGATTAGACTACCCCCAAGATCTGCAAAGCTGATTGACAGAACAAACGTATACTTGCCAGTGTCCTGATGACGCAGCTGCATTCTGCATACCATCGCATCAACTGCTTCTTACAAAGAATTAAGAATCCATATTAACACAAATTTTGTTCCCATTATAAAGTAATTACTATATACCTGTTATGTTCATAATTTAAGAAACAAAATAAAGTCAGATTGAAAAATCTCAGATAATTTTATTCAATCCTTCCATGACCCTATTAGTGATAAAAATTAACCCACAGGTATATTCATGCCAAAAATGCATTCACATCTAAAAGTGCTCACCTATTCTCTTTTTATCAGTGAGACTCAGAAGCCTTCAGATCCACTGCCCTCAATAACCCAACACTTATTTAACATAAATCAGAGATTGATCATGTCATTTAAACCCATGTTCGTGGCAATGGATGTAATATCTAGACAACTCAAATTTGAAGTATGACAGAATGCTTATTAAAATTTGAAGGATGGTCTTTATGGGAACATGTCTATTCCAATTTACTGAGATTTCATGTCTATATAAGGGTAGCAAAATTTAACTCTAATAAAGGTCAGAAATTTCATTGGGTTGAAATATAAACTGGGTTACATGACTAAGTTCTTTAATAGGTTTTCCATGCACAGAAAGTTGCCCATTGAGGGTAACTACAGCCATTATAAAGCCTTTGCCCTTCTGAATTCTTTTACCATTAGTCTCTATGCTGTTAGGATTTGGATAAAATACAAGAATGATCTCACTAAAGTTTTTCCAAGTAAACTCAAGATGAGGATATTGAACAAATGTCTAGCAAGATATTCTACCATTATTACCTAAAGGGGAGCAAGCAAATGATAATTACGCAAGTTCAACAATGTTGTCCATAAATTTTGTCTACCTATTTATAGAGCAAAAACAGAGGAGCCTCATGCACAAGACTCCCTCTAGTGCAAGTTGGAGTACATCAATGCACCCAATCTTACCTCCAAAAGTAAATTTATGACTCAAACTGTTCATACCTAAGTCATAAAAGAGCAACCTTCCTGTAGCACCAAGGCTCACTCCTTAATGTACATGGTCTTATCTTTGCAAGTAAAGAGGTTGTTCCCATGACTCATACACAATGGTTGACAATGGGTTTTTCTAGTATGCATTCAAAAAGTGTTTGTAAAACCTTGATGACTGAGACTAGTAAAAATGTCAACATACAGATGATATAATATCTGGAATCAGAACTTTAGAAATGTAGAATAACAAACATGAATTACCTGACCATGAGATGCCTTAACCAAGCTTGCAATAAGTTCTCTGTTAGGTTTGACATTTGCTGTTACAAACACTCTTTTACCCTGCAAAGATTTTTGAAGGATGAGAAAACTGATCATTGTTACTTAGCTGCATCAAGAAGCTAAGTAGCAAATATCATAGACAAAAAAACTAGCCAGCTAAACCTACAAATGCTAAAAATTAAACCTGCAAAAGAGGTTGTTGGCATGCACGAGCCAGTGAAACAGGCATGTTGAATCCTATCTTTCTCTCCTTCTTAGAATCTCTCAGTATGTAATATTTCTCATCCATAAAGCAACTTGCCTGTCCACAGCTTTCAAGCCACATAGGTGTTACCACGGGTTTACCCATCGCAATTGCTTCGAGCATGTTCTGTGTGCGAACAAATTCATCTGTGACAAAGTGAGTTGCATCTGAAATTGAAGATGCAGTCGGAAGTCCTAGGCGTGCCAAAATCTAACCGAAAACCAAAAGAGCTATCATGTATCATATGTTAGCTTGTACCCAACATTAGTACTACTAAATATAACTTGTAAGTAAAATAAGCATTTACTAATGCAGATACCTTCTTCTGATGCTTGATAGTATCCTCAGCTAAATGATTACTAAATAAAACACGAACACTAGACATATCTTTTCGCCTCCGCATGTCTTTCAGCATACTAGCAACTGAAGATGCTGATACAGATTTATTGCAAGATCTTGGAGGATACCGAGCTGTATAAATAGGTGACACAGCATTCTTATCCCTAGATGGTGTTGTACATGCTAAATCATTCGGTTGACCTTTTGCTTTCAGCGACCTATATAATCTGTTATTTGCTGCTGCATCTTCAACATATTTAGAACATAACTTGGGCTGTTCTGCTTTTTCAGCAGAAAGAGTACTAGCATTTCTTGGTGTAACAGGGCAAAGCAAATGTTTCCTCGCCGATTCCTTGGTATCCTCATTTGAAAGTGGTTCAAGCAAAGGGGACCTAAGTGATGATTGCATACCACGTATAATTCTTACCAATGTGGTACTAGAAGGCTCTCTGTCAGTTTCCAGTGATGCATATGTAAAAATAGATCTTTTTTTCCGCTTAACCTTATTTAGGATATCTGTTACACTTCTGATGAAGATCTTTCTTTTCCCTACTTGTTCGGACGATCGCCCAATTGTCTCTGATGCACCAGCATCCGACATAGCTGATGCTTTATTCAAGTTATCATTCAAGTTTCCAGAATTAACCCGACTAGTTCTCCTCCGCTTAGGGCAGTGACAGCCATCTTTTGTTAGAGAAAAAGTTTGAAGCTCTTCTCCAAGAGGAGCACCATTCAGAAACTTAGCATGAGTTGCACGATACTTTACTTCTGTAGCTAGATCTAAACCTGCACTAGGACAACCTTTATCAGTCACATGATTATCTGGAGATTCTACAGATCTTAAAGCATTTTTATTTACTGACTCATTTGGATCCTTCCCACCATGAGGTAAAGCCTCATTCTGTTTCAATAACTTGGTGCTTTTGGAATACCTAGCACAACGTGCAGGATGTCTCTCCACCAAGTTATTATGATGTTGCTTTTGTTTTTCATCCAAATGTCTGTCATCCTTTGCTTGTGTCTTTGTCTTCTTGGTGGACATAGAAGAATCATGTCCACTGATAAAACTCATATCTGCTTGCCCATCTAGTTTAGCCTTTCCCCTCTTTGCTTGCCGTTTAGCAGTTGTATCCTCCAAACTGTTTTTCATTCTTGAACTAGACCAAACTCGAGGTAAATTTAGACTTCCCCTCAATTCTGTAGAGAGCATCTTTCTCTTTTTAGAACGTGTCATAACTACTTGTGAATCATTAACAGAAGTCCACTTTGGCAGTGAAACGTTCTTTGAAGAAGCTGTCTTCATGATTGGGCTTTTGTCAGAATTCGAAGTCAAATTTCCAGTAAAAGTATCCCTGGTCTCCTCCTTTTCCGCATTAACTAGAGATTCATGGACTAAGGCTTCCAAAGCCTCAGCTGCTAATTGAGTATCAGGAACAACATTGTGTATACCATCTAAACTTCCTTCCACTTCAGTTGCATCCAGTTGATGCTCTAAAGATTCTATTTTTGATTCACCTTTTGCATCCTTGAAAAGATTCTTCCTTATATTTGCTTCAGATATACGAAACCTCTCACTTATTACAGGATTTGGTATCATTAGCCTCGAATCTGAATTAACTAAAACAGTTCCTTTGTCATATATTTTTAAGTTATCACCTAGCTCTCCACTCTTATCAACTGCATCTCTGGTTGTACCAGAGATTGCAAGTCGAGACTTTGGGGGATGGCTTCGAGTTTTCCGTGCACCACATGATCTTTCAAAGAAGGAATCCTTTCTTTTACTGAAGAGTTCACCTCCTCCTTCATCTTCAATACTGTCGTTCCAGTCAAAAATTCCTGGCTTTCCAACTGGACTTCTACAATCAGTCTTTTCAGCCAACAGTTGAACTCCCTTTGTAGCAAATACAAGAGGGGACTTCAAAATATCAGTTTCCACCTTTATGATCTCTTGAGAGGACCCCACATCACTGATCGAAAGAAATTTGTCTACAATTTCCAATGCATTTGCTTGAGATAGATCACTAGGTTCCTGAGAATCAATGTAGCTTAATCCTGCAAGAGCATAATCAGTCGTTAGTAAATGAGAATAGTCCACCTTGGATAAGGTGCTGTCATCCTTGCTTGTGCTTTTATGGTTTTCAGAAGGTAAGAACTCTTTAAAAAGCCTTTTTACCCTCATGTTGCAACATCTACTCTTAGTATCATCAATACAGTAATTCTGGTTAGACCTCTGAATGCCTGCCATTTCATGGTCCAGGTCTAATTTATCAACTGTATTGCTGAGAGAGGAGATGTCGTTTCCCCTATTTTTCCAATTATTTATACCAATTCCTGCCAAATCTATCTGTTCATCTACAGCACAGTTTTCCATTTCACTATGCATTCCATTGTTAAAAGGTCTGAACACATTCTCAAGTCTCCTAGAAACAAGGTATTGAGCTGCAGCAAGACCGGATGAACACATTGCTGCCACAGGAACTACACTACAGCTCCTCATTTTTGATCCTTGAAAAGTAAAAAAAACACAAGTATTGTCAACCAAATGCAAAACCAAAATGAAACAACATTCTATGAATACCAAATTTCATCAATATGACTCACAAATCAAGAAGTCTTTGCTAGCAGAAGCGTGATACAAAGACCTAAGGTACAACAATGAGTTCCAAACCCCCGAGACCAAATATCACATGGACATAAAAATAGAAGCAAAGAAAAACTGGAAGTTAAACCAGAAGTTACATGTAAAATGACAAAACCATAAGGCAATTCAGAGTACTCCAACTTCCTGAGATGTTTGTCTATTCAACAAAGCAAGCCTGTAGGATGCATTTGGTTCAGAGTTAAAATAACTGGATCAAATCACGATAACTAACCTAGCTAACCAATTCTAATCCTCTTCTTTTGCCTAGTTCTAAATAATGAGCAATGTGTTAGCAAAAAATATCAGAGAAGGTGAGCCATTTTATCGGAATTTTTGTGACCAGGTTAAATTAGTAATTCTTAGATTTAAAACATCTGATGGTTTAAACAAATAGATGCCTATAATGTTTTACAGGAGCAAACAAGCAACTTCATAAACATGATGTCACCAGCAAAAGATAATACAAATTTCACTTCAAGAATTCCAAGCCACATCCAATAAAGCCATATTTAGTGCATATAGGTTTGAAACTCAATGCCCATTAGCCCAAATGGTGGAACTTAAACATGAGGTACTAAGGTCCAATGAGTTGTGTGCCTGCATCACTAGAAATCAACCTGTTGAAAATGAAAGTTATAACTAATTATTAAACTAACTTTAACAACCATAATTCCCTTTTAAAAGGCACACTCATTCTTTTTACCATAAACCTTCAACGAAGGCATCCAGGTCCTCATTCCTAAAGCTAATTAGATAAATATTTGTAACCAGGGATCAACAAACCTGACGGACTATCATGTTACTCACTGCCCACATCCATCACCATCCCCGGCCCACGGCCGCTTATTGAATCGGTACTCATCCTCTTTTTCGCCATCGCCTTCCCTCTTCATCTTCTTTTTTGTCTGTTCCTCATGCTCCTCACCTCTTCATCCTCACTTCTTTGTACCACAGTGTATTCTAACATACCATGTGTCACTATGCTGGAAAAGAACCAAAGTCATACCAGTCTGGAAATGAACCAGTAAGAGTCTCATATCTGACATATATAACCTTGATCAGCACTATCAAGAAAGCCAGAAAAATAGTTTTATCTAGAATTGACTCGAGCAAGATGCTTGCTTGTTTCTTCTACCTTATTTATGGATTGAGCCCTTAAAACCCTGAACATCACCCACCTTGGATAATAAATCCCTTCAAATCATGGGATTCAATCTTGCCCGAATAGGTCCATAACAATCAGTATTTACCAGGGCATGAATTGAGATGCTGACTGCCTTATTTCAGGTGGTCCAGTTCATTATTTTTTAATTGTAGGGCTGGTTTTTTAAATGGCATCGGGTTCTGTTCTAGCGCTTGGCACTACTCACGAGCCCATCTCCCCTCCCACCATCACCCACCCACTGTTGTGTCTCTTGCCGGCCTGCAGCCCATCGCATGCCTCATCTTCTGTACTTCTCCTCACTCTTCTACTCCTCTTCCTCCACTGCCTCCTCTGCATGCTCTTCCTCCTCTCTTCTCCTTTCTTTTTCATCCTCCTTCATCCTTCTCCCACCTTCCCATCCCCTAACAGAATGGTGCCATGGTATATGTCATCATACCATATGTCGCATACCAATCTGGTCATCAACCAGAATGAGCCTGGTACCTAGAATTTCATTCTTTGCTCCATATAATTTAGAAAAAGATCCAATTAATTCTTAAAATGATGACTACATAGAGTCCACCGGGTGAAATTTCTGAGGGCAAAAGACACGAAGACAGGTCTTGAGCATGTGAGAGCAGGATCATGAATATGTAAACACATTTTTAATGAACACGTACCAACTAAAAGAAGCAATATAAAAGGTGAAAAAGAGACATAGAAACTTCCTAACGACAGCCTTTTAGCAAATTAGTGTTAGCACCACTCAAGAGAGCTAGACTTAGGAAATACATCAGATAATATAGCAGTCACTGATGCAGCGGTCAAAGAAAAGGCAGAACAGCCAAAGACCCAAATCATTGGATTAAAAAACATAATCATAATCAACTAAGAAGGGATACAACTGAAAACCGACCTGCATTCCTATCATCATCATCATCACCATCACCACCATCGGTCAAAGCACCAGAATCAACCAAATTATCTTTCTTATCCTCCGCCAAGCATAATTTTTCTCCTCCAATCACCCGTAACTCCGGTCTGGAGTCGACATTTCCACCATCTTCTCGATCTCCATAGTGAGTAGCATCATCATTCGACACTCCCTCATCATCGCTAAGCACCTCGGTCCTATCCGTCCCTTCGCCACCGCTGTCAACAGCAGCCGTTTCTTCATCTTCATCCAACAATTGCGTCTCTCCCCGCTCATCAATCCCCCTATCGCCCTCGCCATCAGAACCATCCGATCCATCTAAGGCTTGGGTCTCACCGTATAGAACCGGGACTTCCCCTGCAAGAAGCGAAACCCCGACCAAACTATCAAATCGATATCACAGCAACCATGACCTCCAAAACCACCGAATAAGAATTGTATTAGTCCAATCAACAGAGGTTAAAAGATTAGGGCAACTACCGGGTGCCGCAGAATCAAGGTCCAAAACCTGGGTCTCCTCGTCGTCGACGCCGGCGGTGGAAACCATGTTGATGAGAGGGCAGAGCGAATCCACGGAAGCGAAAAGATCGATCTTTTGAGTGAGAAGTGGTTTCTTTAACAAAGGGATCGGAAACCATAGAAAGAGAGAGAGAGAGAGAGAGAGAGAGAGAGAGAGAGGCGGCGCCAGCGGAAGGAGGAGGTGGGCGTAGTTT